TCATGAAGTGTTAGATACGCCATAAGTTTCATGATTTTTTAAGGAGTTTATTTTTGACATTTTTATGGTTGGAATATTGTCATATTTTTTGTGTTTTATTGTGATCATTGCAAAACAGTTAGGTTAATATTTCTATTTAGATATTTATACTTTTACTTGAAAAAAAACTTAATAAATATTATAAAGATAATTTTATTTGTGGATTTGATTAACAAGTAGTAACATTAACACCATGTAATATTGTTTTGTCGATATTTATGATAATATTTTTAAATTATAATTTATAATTTAATTTAATAATTATAAAAAAATATATAACTTTTAAAAAAGTGGGCTGGCCCGGCAAGCCTGTAGCCCACGTACTTGTGGGTTGGGCCGACCGTTTTCTGGCCCACACCAAAAATGGGCTGGCCTGGCCTAACCAGTAAAATGTCAAAGCCTGTATGGGTTAGCCCGGATGGGGTGGTCTAGCCCATATTGACAGCTCTACATGCAATATATAATACTCCTTCCTTTTTAAAAAAAAATTATGGATAATTTCAGAGACCTCCCTCCAGGTTTAGCTCTATAACACTCTCCTCCTCTATAGTTTACGTTATATTACTTTAATTTCAATTTTTTCATGTTATATATTTAAAGTCATAAAATTAAAAAATATTCATTTAACATAACTTTAATGTATGATCATAAAATTAAAAAATATTTTTTTATCATCTTAAATTTTGTGTCAAGTAGTTGTTTTTTTTAAACTAATGACAAGTGTAAGCAAAAAAGCAAATGAATCACTTAACTATCATAACACCCTAATCATAATCATCTAAACATGCAAAATCGAAATGTTAGCCTGAAAAATGATTGTTTTTAATAATTATATACACACAAGGAGAGACAATTAGAGTAATTTAACTAGCATGTTAGGTACTAATTAATGTTTATCATAAGAACTTTATTTATAATTTATTTATAGCTGATATAAATAACACTTTTTGTTCTACTCAGTAGTCATTAATAGCCGCAAGCCTGGGGACCAAATAATTAAAGTACATTTCGGTTTATCACGTGTTGGAAAAAAAATCATATGTCATTAATTAGTTACAATTATACACATGAATTCATAATTTGAATTTAGAATTTAGAATATAGAATTTTATAATAATTTACAAAGTGGATAAAATTGTTAAGTTTATAGTGTAGAATTAAAAAAGGCAATTAAAGGACTAGAAATATATAATCAAGTTTATAGTGTAGAATATTAAGGGATTAAATTGAAATACATTGTTTATTATTATTATTATTATTTCGTAGTCATTGTTTGAATTAGTCTATTAACAATAACACGTCTGACATATTTTCTAAAAAAGTTATTTTCTTATAAAAAATACTCTCCACATTCTTTAGCTTAATTTTCAGTTATGTACGTCTTTAAATACCATGAATAGTGTCACGACTCAAACCGTCGTGATTGACACCCACACTAATCCTCCAGTGGGAGATTAATCATTACTACAACCCAACTAACAACTTAACTAACCCTCCAGTGGGAGAATCATTACTACAACCCAACTAACAACTTAACTAAAAACTAAGGCATTTAAAGATACGGAAGCAGGTTTAAATGACAATAAAAATGGAGTCCTCATAAACTCCAAAGGTTTAAACAATTAACTAACCAAACTAATGTGGAAATTCAACCCCTAGAACCTGAAAGTCATTGTACCAAAACTCTACGAACGACAAGTCTAAGAACAAGGGGTACAACCCCGAAACTAAACAAACCCCTTAAGCAAATAGTCTGAGTTTGAAAAGAGTGGACTTAAACAAGAAAGATCCATGGCAGCCTGAAAGAACTGGTTCACCCTTGAATCCGGTCACGCTCAATAGTAACCTAGTTGAGGTCTATCAATAGCCGCCTAAAGATGCCCTGTACTCAACAAAGAACAAGCAAGTGTAGTATCAGTACTCAACCACCGTGTACTGGTAGGATCACGCGGCTATCCCAAAAGGTGAAACATATATAAGTTATTACAACAATATTAATGAACATGCATATACCGAACATATACAATATTAATCATCACTTACGAACAACGCACAAATTCACAATTCTCAAGATATACAGTTATGTCAAGCCAATGGTGGAAAACCGTTAAGAAAACACCTGGGGTCATTCTTTAGCTCTCAAAGTCGAAAAGTGCAGAATAAAGCAATTTGGGGTTTATTTCTGACTTAAATCGCGACTGTCCCGCCACAGCAGTCCTCAGCCCGCTGCAGCGGCCCCGCCCTGGCGGAAGTAATCCTGCCATAGCGGCTTGCACGGAAACAGTGAGCAAAATTAAGAATTCCAAACCGCCATTTCACAACACACCTTCATCCCAAGACACTCGGAAAATATCCGTTCACGCTAAGATCAGTTTCGGGAGTTCTACTCACCTCCCTAGACCTTACTGACTCAGATTTCGTCCAAATCTGGACTAGGCTAGAAAATCCCAAGTTACTACAAAAAGTTTTTCCGGTCCAATTCTTTCCCCATTGGCTTTTCCCAAACGATGGAATCAGGTCGTTACAAATAGGTAGAGTGTGTATTAGTTATGCATATATAAGTTGAAAATACTATCAAACAAGAAATTAAATAATACAAAATTTCATACTAATATTAATGTTCTAAATAAAATAATAAATAGATGAAACAAACATGAAATTTGAATTATACTTCTGGTCTATGGGTTGTTTAGAATTCGTGTGAATACCTATGCCTATGCTTGACGTCTTCTTATAAGGTTGTTTAGTACATTGTTTTGGCTTAAGGTTTGTGAAGCTTCTTATATTGGAAGTTGGAACAGAAAGCTCGTTTGTCTAAATATTTTCTGATTGCTACAAGGACATGTTATTACAGAAAACATATAATATAACTTAATTAGAACTTAACTGTTATAATAAAATGAATATTGCTATACGAAAAATGACTGTTATACAAAGATATGACAGAAGAAGATAAATTTAGGCAATTTCACTTATTTCATTAACAAATATGAACGTTTTCTAAAATAAGACTCCACATTCCTTAATTTATGTGGCACAACTACTATTTTAAGTGTCATTTCTTTTATCGAAATTTCTTTGTCTTTCTATATTTCTCAAAATTCGAATAATGATACATAAATTGAGATGAAGGAAATACTGATCAACTACCTGGGTGGGGGTGGGGGGTCCTGTTGTATGCCATGATGCATTAGCAATTAGGCGGGTTAATACCTCAGATGGTCACTCAACTATCCACTTTTGCCTCAGAAAATCGCTCAACTTTTAATTTTCACTAAAAAGTTACCATGTGAGTGACTTTCTGAGGAAAGACTGGATAATTGAGTGACCATCTGAGGTATTAACCCGCAATTAGGCAGAAAACTTGCTTGGCTAGAAATAAAGCCTCTTACAAGAAATACAACTTCAAAAGTACAATGTCTTTTTATTTCCACTCGTCACTACAAACCATATATTATAAAATTGTACAAATTTCTGTCTCTTTCTCATCCTCTACTACTTTGCCATTATATTTTCCACTTTTTGTTAGTTGTTGTTTCTTCTTATTCCATTCACTCTTATTGTACAATGAAGGTATGATATTCTTCTTTCATCTTGTTTCATTTCTTTTCTTCTTTTGTACATCCATATACATGGTTTGATCGAGTCAATATTTTTAGTTTATGAATTTTAAATCATTAGTTTTTGTTTACAAGATTCTATTTATATAAATCAAATGACTTTTTTTTATTATAAATATAAAATCTGAATTAAAGTTATTGAATTCACTGAATCGGTAACGTACGTGAGGCTTTGCCCCAACTGCACATGTGTTTTACCTTTTCTACTTTCGGTATAGAAACCAAAATTACTGAGTTTACTGAATCAGTGCCTTAACATTTCTTTCCTAGATTCTTATTGGATCACTACTAAAAAAACGTAGACTCAGTTATGAAATTTATCGATAATCTCTATCTAGCTAATTTATCATTAAAATGTTCTCAACTAATTCAATTTTCATATTATTAGTTGTTAATCTAGTTAAATAGAATTAACATGAAATTTTAGCTATTTGGTAAAATTTTGTTGGTTCCTTATTTTACGCTTTCTTTCTTTAACTTTGATTTGTGTAGAAATTTATCTTGAAATTGGATTTGGGAGATGACAGAGAAAAAAGGAAGGCCTTGAAGATAGTGGCTGCTCTTCCAGGTAATTAATACTTCCACAGTTTCAATTTGTTTGATTTGATTCGAAATACAAATATCAAATTAATTAAAATATGGTGTAAATTTAAATATTAAATTTTTAATATTTTTGCAATAAAAATTACTCATTTAGAAATTATTTTTTTACTATTTAAATAGTAATTATGATAAATAAATCTAAACAGAGAAAATAATTAATTTTCTATTACAAGTTAAAATTTACAATATCCTAGTACTACATATAGCTTATTATTAGTGTCCAACTGTTAACGGGTTAGGAGAATCAAGTGGTGAATATTATTTGTAAACTTGATGTGGAAATATTAATTTAATATGCCAACTAGGTTGAATTCATTGATATGTTTTTGGCGAAAAAAATATTTCGTTTGTTTTAGTTTGATTTTCATACTTTTTTTTAAGCATGTTTCAAAAGTGTTTTTTTTTTTAACAATTTGTTAATTTCAACTTTTCATATAACATATTTAAGATCACGAAATTTAATAGCATTTTAGTACACTTCATATGTTTTTAATGGGAAAATTATTTTGGCCAGAATGGTAAAATAACATATTTTACACTAAGTAATTTTACCTTTTTGAACATTTTTGTCCTTTTAACTTTAATAACTTTAATTAAAAAATGGAAAAACGATCAGTTTATTTTAAAATAAAAAGGATATTATAGGCTTTTTAAATTTCTGACTAAATACTGGCCAAATTTTCTGGCTATTTAGCATTATCCGTTTTTAATTTGAGACTACAAAATTCAAACCCTCTTTACTTTATTAAATTTTGTGTTGGGCTAAAATATATCAAACAAATTGAAACGGATAGAATAGGAAAATAATTTGTACACGTCGATTCTTGAATGATGCCACGTCAAATGGGTCCTCCATAATTACAACTTACCAAGTTGTCCTTCTCTAAACGTCAGCAACTCATTTTGCCCTAACATAAAGCTCCCTCGTATCATATAACTTGACATTTATTAATTTGACATATTTTTAAAGAAAATTTTAATTAAAAGTATATTTTATTAAATTAATTTTATTAATGGTGTTAATTTTGTCAATTCTTCTTTGGTGAAGGGCCTCATCGAAATATATATAGTAACTATTTGGAACAAAAGAAATGAAAATGTTGTTACAAATGTAGCTCTTTATAAACTTATATGTAAAAATTCACCAAGAATTTAAGTAACAACTACTTCTATTATATGACAAGGTCATTTTAGAAACTTTAAAGATCTAGCCTAGTTAAATAATTTACATTTTGAATCCGTCTCTGTATAATGAAATTGACACTTTTGAAATTTTGTAGGGATTGATGAAATTACGATAGATATGAAAGGTAAGACGTTAACGATAATAGGTACGGTTGATCCGGTGAGCGTAGTGAGCAAATTGCGCAAGTTTTGGGCAGTAGAAATGATGTTAGTAGGACCAAAAGAGGAACCAAAGAAAGAAGAGCCTAAAAAAGAAGGAGAAAAAGAAGACAAGAAAGAAGAAACAAAAAAGGAAGAAGAAGAGAAGAAGCCAATGGTACCAATAGGTATGGTAATGCCATATAGACCTTATTATCATCCTCCTCCTATGCACACATATTACCAAGTTCATCATCATAGCATTGAAGAGAATCCTAATGCATGTATCATTTGCTAAAAAGAAAAATTACGAATCGAAGCGATAAAAGATTGAATATGTCACTGTCATCACTTGGAATGTTTTAATGTACTACTATATATGTTATGTATGTATTCATAGTGTACAAACATCTAGTTGGTCTTGGTTTATCCTATTTTATAATATATGAATCCAAGACTGACTTTCAAGAATATAAATGTAGAAGAGATTTTGTGAATAGACAATAGTATCCTTTTAAGTTTTTGTACGTTCAAAGTCAAGTATATTACATATTGTGTATAGAGAGTATTCAATAAGATTTTTTTTTGTGTTACTTATGTGATTGTGATACTTGAAGTTTGAATCAATTCTTGTGTTTTCCAACTCACATGATTGTGTTGATATTACTTGGGTTGGATGAGATGAAGTGAAAAAGTACCAACCATATATCATAGTGATGAGATGATATATAAATTTATATATCTTTAATTAGAGGTATTAAATTTAAGTCTTTGATACAAAAAAATGTTTACAATAAAAAAAGTGTTTCTTATTTTAATGAATCTTACTCGATGTATATGTGAATTCAGATTATTGAAGTCTAGAGATATCAAATATCGAATGAAAAAAACAAAATAGTTAAGATTATTTGCTAGCAAATATTGCATATATATGAAAATGAATTGCCAACGAATTCTTCCAACAATCCAAATTCGTTAGTATGTTAGTAACAAATTAGTAACATATTTCAGAATTTAGCAATGGATTCCTAATGAAATGCCAACTAAAATTTTACTTACTAAATAATGTAGTTGGTAAATATGTTAGGAAAAAAATAGAATAAAAAATAGTAGGATCAATATAAGAATAAAGTCAGGAGGTTGTTGTTTGCATGTATGGCAAAAATCTTAATTAAAAATGTTGACTACTTATAAGTTATACCGCTTAATTTATCAACTTTCTATTAATGAATTACCGATAAAAATATTACTAATAAACACCTTTCATTGGTAATATTACCAAATGGAGTATATATTGATTGGTAAATGTGATAAAAAAAAATGTAGAGTATAATTTATTAACAGATTACCAACGAATTACTAACTAAGAATTAACTAACAAAAGAATTTTGTAGATAATTTTACCAACAAGTCAAAAATGATTTGAGGAATCAACATAAAATTTTGGGTAATATTTTTTCACCACATAAACAATTCCTATATATTTTATAGTATATATACTATAGCTAGTTGAGTGAACCAAATAATACCTTGATATGTTTTTGATGTAACATGTCACTTTGGGTGGTCTACCATTGGAACCTAACCTAGCCACACAAATAATCTTCCTTAACTTATTTGTTTGTATGTTTCTGAAATAACATATTAATAGAAATAGAGGATCAAAAAATAGAAATCTATATATGCAAATTGAATTATTAATTTTTTTGTTTTATTATGTTAGTCTTTGATTTTTCCTTTTGATGTAAAACATTTGTGTAATATTTTTGTAATATACATTTGATTATTTTTTTTCAGAAAGTACTTCAATTTGATTTGTGAGAATTCAAAGTTTGTTTGGAAAACTAAACAATTTTGGGTAAAAAGTACATTTTCTTAGATTTTTGGATTTTGAGTTTTTTGCCCAAAAAAATAAATAATCCAAAACTTGACAAATTTTATGGGCAAACAAATTGTCAAAAGATTTTTCAAAAAAGTACTTGCAATATCTATGGCCAAATAGGTCCTAGACACTCCTTAAATTGAGATAGGAAAAATATAATATTTTAGTGACAAAATCAATTTTTTTGGTAAGCTAATTCAAAATACAAAAGAAATAAATGAAATTCATGTATATATTTATACTTTCTGCATCACTCAACATCAACACAAAAAATTGGGCGGCATTTGGCGACAAAGGAAATTGTGCAAAAGAGTATAACCATCTCTTATCTTTTGGAGGAAATTAGTTTGTAGTTTGTGACCCAATTTTGATTGAAATGCTAATTGTGATTTAAAAGATTAAAGAAATTTGATGCTTGGATAATGTGACCAAAAAACTTTGTAACTACCATTCTTTAACAAAATCTTTTGGAGTCATGATTAGGGTAGGGGAAGAGGGATGAGAATTGAGCTCACACCTATTATTCGAAGCACATTCAACGAAATTTTACCCTACATAAGATTCATATCATATCTTCAATTCAATTGTTAATTACTCATATTAGTTTTTCATTAAACGAGCATACTTCTATAATTATTTAGGAACAAATTACACAAATATTTCTATTATATTTCAAATCAGATACACCTAGATACATGTATTTTTGCTATCCAATTCACTATGAAATATATACACATAAGGAGAGAGGCGAGCGAGAAAGTCAGTGTATTCCAAATACATGTGAATCACACTAGATACATGTATCTGAGATACCAAATACATGATTTTAGATACATTTTTGAAATACAGATACGGGAGTGAGACGAGCGAGATAGGAGAAGAGGCAAGCGAGAGAGTTAATGTATCTTAGATATATGTGAATCCACTCAAATACAATATATCTAGAACAAAGTGTACACAAGATACATGTATCTGGAAATCGCAATTTGGCACGAATGATAATTTCAAAATCTCACATGAAAGCACATTATTAGGTCCTAAATTAATGAATTTGTGTTGTTTGCCCAGTTATTTATTCGATCACAAAACTAGCTTTTTTATTTATTACTTTCCCTATTTCATATTAATTGAATTTGTGGGGGGGAGGGGGTCATTATTCAAAATAATTAAATTGTTCAAAGTTCAAAATGGATGTTTGAAATTTTTTCTATATTTTGTCATTCTCTTTAATGTAGTAGTTTGATATAGAAGATAAATTATACTACTTACAAAGTTAATTTATAATTTTACAAAGGATAATAATGAAAAATATAATTTAAATTATGTTCATAAATATTTTCTTAAAAGTGTTCATTGTCCCACAAATTGAGTTAATCTCGAATAGAGGGATTATTGCCATTAGTATATCTTTCTTAAAGTCCAATTGGTAGATGAGGTCATCTTAGTGCTGCATGTCGTCATTGTGGATTGTTATTATTTAGAGATTGTTCTTCATTTACATAATTGGTCAAAATTATACTCCACGGTCCACATCAAAGACTATGTATAGTATTTTTTTTGTGTGGGGAGTTGGGATAAAACACGAAAAATATTTAGGATTTTTAATTTTTTTTTTTATGATAAGGAAAATTCGCAGTTGCTATTCTTTGAGTGTGCACAAAATAAAATTTCCGGTCTTATACAATAGCTTGCAAACCACATAGAAGCGCATACCACATAGGAGAGGTAACCCGCATAGACAAATCTTGTGCGATGAGCTCAACCCAGAAGGCAAACCATTTACTTATACTGGCTAGGAGTTTCAAACTAAAGTTTAGAAGTCCCAAACTCAAACTACTCGACCCAAAAATATATAGTATACTAAAAAAATAGAATAACTTAACGTGGGGTCGATATCTTTATATTCCTTTTCTTTGTTGATCAATATTATCAAACTATTGCTATTCTACCAGAAAATACTTGAAAATTTACTAAATAATGATTGTAAAAGATTTGAAGAAAGTTAAACATGCATGTAAAAGCCGTTTCCTCGATTCTTTTATACCAATTCTGTAACATGTGCAAGTTTGAATTTCCAATTTTTCTTCTGAGCACTCTTTTTTTTTTTCCTGGAATAGTATTTTATATGCTTAGAACATTCATAAGTTTCTACAACTACCTGTATTTGATGACCTGTTGTTTCAAATTTTTGACTAAACCATGGCATGGCTAATTATCAGTTAGACAAAATATACATATACATCCAATTACAAATGAGGTGAAATAAATCATCACCCCCAGTACACGAAGAAAGATTTGGAATAAATTCAATAGCTCGATATCTTGCTTCGATAACATCCCTTTTGAGCTGATGGTCTTGCAGAAACAACCTCTACACCCCACAAAGGTAGAGAGTAAGATCTGCGTACATCAGACCCTACTTGTGGGATCACACTGCATATGTTGTTGTTGATATAACTCCTTGTATATATATATATAGCAATTTCATAACCTTGATGCATCACTTCCAGAATGCAAAAATTGGTCTATTAAACCCAGGTTTGCGACCAGACGCACTGGAGGTTATGTCCTCTACCATTCTAAATCCAATCTGCATTCAGATTAAAAATTGACGCGTCAGTCATACCTAACAGCGTCATAAAATATTTATCTTCCAAGTTTCATACGCTAAAGATTCTCTGCTACGTACCTTGTCCAAAAGTATATCTTGAAAATCTTCTGGACGAATCTTAATTTCTTGATAATTAATTCTTGTTGTCTGCATAACGAGGAAAACATTAATATGCTCCAAATGAAAATTTTGTCCACACACTCGAGCTTTAAGGAAAAGAACCCAAAATATGGTATTGGCTGTAAAAATAATAAGTTTAAAAAAGCGTATCTGAATCTAGCAACAATACGAAAGGGAATACCTCAGATACAAGACGATTACTGTAGTATGAACTCCAAGGCTGAGGCTCCAAAATAAAGACACCACCCTTTTACAAAAATATACAGTCAAAAGGTGTTATTCAGCAAATTATTTCCAGAACCAAAAAGATGCTTCTCATAGAATACGTAACATATTTACCGGTGAAAGAAGCCTCCAGACTTTTGAAAATAAAGTTATAAGTCCCTCATCACCCCAGTTTAATTGCACCCATTTTGACACGCTTAAACTGCATCAACAGAAATTCAATTGATCATGCACACATACATATAGAATTAAAACAAAATCTTCTAGCACTAATACTACAGAAATTCACAATAGTAAAGGCAAACATACTTTATATTAATATTACATTGCTTAAGATTATATGACTTGTGCGATACAGAAAAGCAGAAAACCAGGTCTAATCTTCTCTGTAAGTAACCTCTGGAGTTAATTCATGCGCTCAATTTTCGAGAAAGCCAAAGATTGAGAGCCCTGCACCTTTCTTGTATTATCGTTTCTACTCAGATGACTTGCCTAAACCAC